CATCCAGAGGCAGGTGGAGAATCCCTCTGGAGGCCAGCAGTTCATTGACCATGAGTGTCAAAGAGCAAGTTTCAGAAGATCCAGCTTCTCTGAGAGTTCTCATCATGGCTGCCACGCCAGCCCGCCCGCCCCACCTCCTGGGCAGTACTTAACTTATATAGACCTTATGATTTCATTTACCTGATCCAATGAAGGCCAGTAACTGTTGGCTGCCAGCCAACCAATTTGAAATGCATCACTGGTTGCCAGGTAGACTGACAGGGTCTCTAGCCCCCTCCCATTGCTTAGAACAACAGGGAGTTTAAGCCTGCACCCAGGTGTGTGAGGCCAGTCATGCAGGCAGAGGGAGCAGATTTCCCCCTCCCTCAGGAATGTATCCAGCTCAGGTTACAACTCAGGGTTACCTGAAGCCGATGGGGCCAGAGTTATCTATCCTCTGCAGTGACCACAGTAACCAAATTGTCAGATTAGGCATCTGCCTGATAGCAGAGTTTAGGGAGAGACAGAGATGGCATTCTGCCATAGTCTATACATGTGCTACTACACAGTAACTAATGTGTAGTTAATCTAGTACCTGTATTTCTTGGTACTAGCAAGATGCACATTAGCCCAATTTACTGCACAGTAAATCTTGCGCACGTGTAAGCGATGATGCTTTACTGAGCATTAGATTAGCCTGGTAATCTACTGATTCAATCAATGCAGGCTGGAATGCAACATGCATGTCCTGACTTCAGGCTCTACTTACCAGGTTTAACTAACATTGCATCAAATTGTCCCATGTATTGCACAAATACTTAGATTTCAGAACCAAGGGGATTTCTTGCTTACTTCACCTGTCCAAGACATGAATCCCACAAGACAGCTAGTCAACTGTTTCAGGACAAAAATAATTTTTACCTGTATTATGAAACACTGGTAATGGAAGAAATGACTTCTTCTGTACAGCTTGGCAGAGGGGCTGTTTAGCTGTCATGTGAATATCTCTGAATATAGTATAACAGAACCTGGTGGAAAATAATTATTTTAATGAAAGGGGCCCAACTAAGATTGAACAGCTCTCATCCCTCAAAAAAAAAAAAAAAAAAA